TTAAAAGCCAAACTGACACAGGAACCACAATCTACAGAAGGCTGGTCAGAACCTGTGCTCCGAACACAACCAGGCTGACTGTCTGCTAAAACAAATATCAGCAAGACCAGAGCCTCACGATATAATATTCAAAATGTCCCGGATCCACAGACAGTTACTCGGCATGCGAAGAATCAGGGAAATCGCAGCTTGCGTGGGGAGAGACAATCAACAAATGCCAATGTCAAGATGCCCCAGATCTGGAAGTACCAAATACTTGAAAGTAGCTATTTAAATATTTTTCCAGGAAGTAAGAGTGAAGACTCTTGAAACAAATGGAAAGATAGAAGACTGCAGCAAAGAAATAGAAGGTATAAAGAAGAATCGAATGGAAATTGAAAAACTTTTCTGAAAAACATAATTCACTGGATAGAATCGATAAGCAGAATGGAGATGACACAGGGAAGACACAGCTCAAAGTCAGATCAATAGGACTTATCCAATATGAACAACAGAGACAAAAAAAGATTGAAATAAATAAATAAATCCCCAGGGCTTCCCTGGTGGCGCAGTGGTTGAGAATCTGCCTGCCAATGCAGGGGACACGGGTTCGAGCCCTGGTCTGGGAAGATCCCACATGCCGCGGAGCAACTAGGCCCGTGAGCCACAACTGCTGAGCCTGCGCGTCTGGAGCCTGTGCTCCGCAACAAGAGAGGCCGTGATAGTGAGAGGCCCGCGCACCGTGATGAAGAGTGGCCCCCGCTTGCCACAACTAGAGAAAGCCCTCGCACAGAAACGAAGACCCAATACAGCAAAAATAAATAAATTAAAAAATTAATAATAAAAAAAAATCCCCAATTTGACAAAGATACACACTTACAGATTCAACTAGCTCAGTGAACTCCACACCCAACTCCAGGATCAACCCAAGGAAACCCACGTGCAGACATATCATAATCAAATTCTCAAATTCCTGACATCTAAGGATCTTGAGAGCAGCCAGAGGACAACAATGAGAGGAGAACAATTTGAATAACTACATATTGTTTAAAAATCAGAAATCATGGAGGCCAGAGGAAATGGAACAGCATTTCAAAAGTGCTGAAATAAAAACTGCCAATCCAGAATTCTATGTCTAGTGAGAATGTCCTATAGGAATGAAGGTGAACTAAAGATAGCCTCATATGAAGAAAAGCTAAGATAATTTATAGGCAGCAGACCTGTTCTAACTGAATGACTAAAGGAAATTCTTCAGACATACGGGAAACAATACCAGATAGAGGTCTGGAACATCAGGAACAAAGAAAAAGCAACAGAAATGATAACTATCTGGTTACTATTCAAGACTATTCTCTTGAGATTTCTGAAATATATTTGATGACTGAAAACAAAAACAGTAACATCATAAAAACAGAACTACCATATGATCCAGCAATTCCACTTCTGGGTATTTATCTGAAGAAAATGAAAGCACGAATTCAAAAAGATATGTGCATCCCAATGTTCAGTGCAGCATTATTTACAATAACCAAGATGTGGAAGCAGCCTAAGTGTCCACTGACAGATGAATGGATAAAGAAGATGGACACACACACACGAATATTACTCAGCCATAAAAAAGAATGAAGTCTTGCCATTTGCAAGAACATGGATGAACCTAGAGGGTATTATGCTAAGTGAAATAAGTCAGACAGAGAAAGACAAATACTGCATGTTTTCACTTACATGTGGAATCTAAAAAACAAACCAGAAACAGACTCCACTGACAGAGAACAAACTAGTGGTTGCCAGAGGGGAGGAGGATGGGGGAATGGGCAAAATAGGCGAAGGGGATTAAGAGGTACAAACTACCAGTTATATAGTAAATACATCACAGGGATGTAATGTATTGGGTTGGCCAAAAAGTTCGTTCGTTTCCCCATAAGGTGTTATGGAAAACCCCGAACAAACTTTTTGGCCAACCCATACAGCATCAGGAATATAGCCAAAAGTATTATAATAACTGTACAGTGCACAATCTATGAAAATATCAAGTCATTATGCTGTACACCTGAAATGGAAATAATATTGTGAGTCAACTATAGGTCAATTAAAAAAAAAAGTAAAATTATCTGAAGGGGTTTTCAATGTATGGAGATGTAATACCTAAAACAACTATAACATACATAGTAAAGAAATCTATGTGATGAAAAGTTCTACATTCTACTTAAAGTGGTGAAATGCTGATTCCAAGTAGACTGTGAAAGTGGTATAAATATAGTAATCTCTAGAGGAACAACTAAAAGGCTTTAAAAAAGGAAACAGTTAAAAGCACAATAGATAAATTAAAATAGAGTAATAATAATGTTCAAATAAATCCAAAAGAAAACAGGAAAGGAGAAACAGAAACAAAAAACCAGAGAGAACAGGACTTCCCTGGTGGCACAGTGGTTAAGAATCCATCTGCCAATGCAGATGACATGGGTTCGAGCCCTGGTCCCGGAAGATCCCACATGCCGCGGAGCAACTAAGCCCATGCACCACAACTACTGAGCCTGTGCTCTAGAGCCCGTGCTCTGCAACAAGAGAAGCCACCGCAATGAGAAGCCCGCACACTGCAACGAAGAGTAGCCCCCGCTCGCCACAACTAGAGAAAGCCTGCGCACAGCAACGAAGATCCAACACAGCCAAAAATAAATAAATAAAATAAATTTGTTTAAAAAAAAAATTTTGCCCTATTTCCTACTCCCTCTCCGCAGATCCAAGGTAGCCTCCCAATCAACAGCCTCCTACTCCCAGTAGCTGTGAAAACCAGCAGCCTAGCAGCCACTGGAGGAAGTAAACTGCCCTGGGAGTTCCTCAGAAGTCCCACACCCAGAGCACTGTCCCTATTTGACCTGTCTGGCAGCTCTCTGGAAACTTCCACTGGCAAGGCTTGTCTTGTCTTTATTCAACCTGACTCAGTGAGAACAGCCTTTTCCTCAAGGTATTTGTCAAAAACAATCAGTGGCAACTGTTTAACAACACAGCTGCCTGAGGCAGTGATAACAGTGGAAGCAAACAAGAAACTGACCAACAGTTTAAGAGGAAAAGCTGGTAATCTAGAAGGCCACAGGCATGTGAAGAGCTGTGCACATGTCTAAGACAGACAAGTGATGGCCCTAATCTTACCTCTGGCTAACCTTGAGGCTCTGTGCAAGAAGGAAGTGAAGGCTAAGGCAAAACTGTAAACCGCCTGCCAGAATGGTGAAGGCATGCTCCACCACACACAGAAAGCCCCCTGGCAAAGATCAGGAGACTTACTGGTTCAAAGCATTTCAGGAAATCTCTGATCTTTGGCTGACCACTAAGCTAACCAAGCAAAGACTTCAGTTGCCACACACAACAAAGAATATAAGCTGTACAGAGTTAGTTCAGGAAAGTCACCAAACACATAAACAGCAACAAAGACAACAAGCAGCAAAAACAACAAACCCTGGGCAGGGAGGGTCAAATTACCAACAGCCAAGGAGCCCTTTCTATTTCCCAATATAATGGGGTCCAAGCCACAGTACCTCCTTCAACAGAACATGAGACTGGTGGGGTGCCCAATCCTCCTGCCCTTGGACCAAGTACTTCCACATTCCTGTGTGTGGGGTGGGGGAAGGGCAGGGAACGTGATGAGGTGGCTTATTTGACGGATGATGTCCTAGCAATCACATTTTGGCACTGTAAAATAATTTCTTCTCGGAAATGGTAGGGAACAGGCTAAAACCATACCATATATAGTGTGTCACACAGTACATTTACAACTCATAAGCAAACTGGTCCTGGAAGGGGCCAATCATATTTCCGTATGTCAGTGCAGGTCTGATTTTATCTTAAGGCCAAAAATCACAATTAGGAACCATGTCTAGTCAATCAGGGAACAGCCACCAATTCAGAGATGTGGTGACCAGTTGTCATTGTTCCGTCTCTTAGCATCCTTGGTCCTTTCCATCTGGGACCTCTCTCTCCCTGGTTTGCAGCCCAGGGTTCCCAAAGGAGTGGCTGGCACCACTGGCCTTGTGATGGGTTCGGAAGTGGGCAGGACTGGCAGCACTGTGGGATGCTGACACATTACTCACCCCCTATTCCTCCTTCTAACAAATCTCAATTCTGTCTAGGGTGACAATGTACCCAGCATCCAGTGATGGATCACGATACGTTAAAGATAGTCATGACAATTCTGTCTTCTTTTCATCTAGCCTGATGACAGCAAGGGATGGCAAAGTGACCTAGTACTGACCAATGACATACAAGGTAATACGTGATGGGGGATATTTTGCTCTTCAGTTTAAAGAAAAAAACCCACAACAGACAAGTACCACTTCTTTCCCCTCTTCTTCCTGCTTTAAACGTAAGTATGATGCCAGGAGCTGCAGCAGCCATCTCATGCCCACAGGATAAAGGCCAAAAGAACCGCAGGGGTACTGGGCCTGACACTGCTGAGCTACTCAACCACACTGGGCTGCCACCTACCACCAGATTTGTTATGTGAGAAAAATAATTCCTCTTTGCTTAACTACTGCTAGTTTTCTATTTCTTGTAGCCAAAAGCATTCTTAACTGATTTGCCAAGTGACTCAATAAGAGCCAAAGAGACACAAAAACTATTTTGCTAGGGACACCCCCTCAGTCTTTCCTACTAGGCAAGAAGGAGCCAGGGTGTGGCCCGGAGCAGCTACTGGTACCTCACCACCACAAGGAGGAAACGAGCCTCCCTGAGGACAGGGAGCCAGGGGACAGAAGGAGACAGTGAATGCCAACATCAGAGCTCCTTTACCAGCCAGGCCCAAGAGGAGGTCTGTCCTGGACTAAACATGAGGCAGTATCTTTCTTTTTTGCTTAAACCAGCTTGGCTTCCTGACACTTGCAATTAAATGAGTTGAAACTAATAGAAACAAGCCTTCATTTCTTCAGAGGCCAGCCAACCTACTCCAAACTCTAAATCTCATTCTTGACAGGTCAACCACTGTGATCAGCACTAAGAAAGGTCACGAAAGAAAAGTGGGTACCACTCACCTTCTTTCTGTTTCTTCTGTTCAAGTTTCATCTTCTTTGCCAATAATTTCTTCTCTTTTAACTTCTGGCTGCAAATGCAAAATAATTAATTCCTTAACTACCTATTTTATATTTTAGAAAATAAACATCTACTTACAGAACCTTTAGCAACTTAGTAATTACACGAATACTATGATAAAATGAAAGAAATACTTCCTCATGACTCTGCTACTCCAACACCATCAACATTATCAACCTGTTTCCTTCACGAATCAAGATCAGATTCTATGGTGTCCTGAGGTGATCAGCGCAATCCAGAAATACTGGAGATACTTTCTCATTCAGAGATATTTAGGGACTGTTTTTTTTTTTTTCTTTTTTGCGGTACGCGGGCCTCTCACTGTTGTGGCCTCTCACTGTTGCGGCCTCTCCCGTTGCGGAGCACAAGCTCCGGACGCGCAGGCTCAGCGGCCATGGCTCACGGGCCCAGCCGCTCCGCAGCATGTGGGATCTTCCCGGACCGGGGCACGAACCCGTGTCCCCTACATCGGCAGGCGGACTCTCAACCACTGTGCCACCAGGGAAGCCCTAGGGACTGTTTTTAGAATCCTGCTCAGCTCTCTAAAAGTTGAAGGAGCATTTATTAAAACAACACATACACATGCACGGGTGCAGTCTGTATACTCATGTAGTCACTTAGGGAGGTCACAGACCCTCCTTTAAGGGAGAAGCTAATCGGGAAGTTTGCTCATAGCAACTTATTAAACCTGATGTTGAAATACCGACATGGGGCTTCCCTGGTGGCGCAAGTGGTTGGGAGTCCGCCTGCCGATACAGTGGGCACGGGTTCGTGCCCCGGTCCAGGAGGATCCCGCATGCCGCGGAGCGGCTGGGCCCGTGAGCCATGGCCACTGAGCCTGCGCGTCCGGAGCCTGTGCTCTGCAATGGGAGAGGCCACTGCAGTGAGAGGTCTGCGTAACGCAAAAAAATAAAAAAAAAAAATTAAAAAAAATACGGACATGAAGGAGACACAGAAATCCACGTGCTCACCACCAAAGTGTTGACCAGCAAGCTTTGGAGAATCTGTAGCAAGCTGGGGGCAGGGGCAGGGGGCAGTAAGTGACTTGATCTCTCCCCAGGTACTAGAAGAAGAGCCATTCCTCTACGGGGGTGCTCCACTGTGGGTTTTTTTTTTTTTTTTGCTGCACTGCACAGCATATGGGATCTTAGCTCCCCGACCAGGGATCAAACCCACGCCCCCTGCATTGGAAGCATGGAGTCTTAACCACTGGACCGCCAGGGAAGTCCCCACTGTGGATCTTTACACCCAAGACCTATACGGGCCATACAGGTAAACTTTTGACTACAAGAAGGACTCGTTCACCAACTATTTACTTTTACATTTCCCGCCCTAAGTCTCAGTAGTTATGGGATGCCACAAAGCCCTCACCGCTTTTTCCGACGCTTTGCAGTCTGCTCCTCCGCAGCAATTTTATTCTTTTCCAGTCTTTTCTGAAATTCTGCATCCAATTTTTGCTGCAAAAAACCACATCAGTTAGACAAATTCTGGCCTGCCTGGGTATGAAAGCTCTAGAAGTCTCACCACTGGGGGTGCTACAGGTACATCCAGGTCTCCAGGACCACTTAAAGAAGTTGCCTCACAGGTGAGGCAGGAAATCAATATATGGATCTCTGATGGTGAAATAACTCAGTTCATTAAGATACCGTTCGTGCACAAGTAAATGTAAGAGAGAGAAAGTATGAGAGGGAGCACGCTGAGGATTCCCTGAAGGCAGAGGCAGCACTACTGGCTCTGTTTCGCCAGGGCCTTGGAAAACGTGATACTGTGACTTGTAATATATATACATATTTGGTCTTCATCTACTGTTTTTGGCACATTAAAACTCTTACAAATTTCCTATATGAGAGCCACAGGGGGATCTTTTATTATAATATTTAGTTTTGTTCCCGGTTCCTGAAATAACTCCAGAAATAAAGATGAAATGGGTATCTTTTGTTATTCATAACCAGCCCCTTTCAAGCACAGGAGTTTATGAGTGACTTTGGGAAAGCACCTAAGGAACGGGGCTGGTTGCCAAGGGAACTTTCTGCTCCACCTCCTTGACCTCCAGGGAGGGGAGAGGGGCTGAGGGTTGAACTAATCACCAACAGTCAGCAATTTAATCATGTCCACATAATGAAGCCTTCAAAAACCCCAAAAGGCTGCGTTTGGATAGCTCCTGGGTTGGTGAACACTGGAGATGCTGGGAGAAGGAACGGAAGCTCTGCATCCCTTCTTCCACGCAGCTTTTCTGAGTTATATCCTTTTATACGACACCGGAAAACTAGTAAGCTGTTTTCCTGACTTCTGTGAGCCCCTCTAAGCCAATTACTTGAAACTGTGGAGGGGATCATGGGAAACCTGTGATTTATAGCCAGTGGGTCAGAAGCACAGGTGACAACGGGGACTTGTGGCTGGCCTCTGAAGTTGGGCGTGGGGCTCAGTCTTGCAGGACTGAGTCTTAACCTTCGAGATATGGCGCTATCTCCACGTAGACAGGGTCACAATTGAGTTGAATTGTAGGATACTCACCTGGTGTCACAGAACTGCTTGGTGTGGGGAAAATCCCCACACATCCGGTGCCCAGAAGTGTCAGAAATGCAGTAGAGTACTGACAGTAAGGAGACACACAGGAGTGTTGCTCCTTCAGAGACAGTGATGGGGGCTCACTGGGTGGAGTGGCCAGAGGGCTGCGGCCATGGAATTTTCAAGTCCTAACTCGCTACGGTTATCAAATGACCGATTCTAAGGCGGAATAACATGCATTGCCATCACCTGCTACTAAACACACCTACACGTGTACATACATATATGTGAGTACGTACATACATACAAATAAATATATATATCCATCCCTTGTGTTATTTCTTCCTAGCAGCTCCCTGTTTCTAAGCCTCAGCTTCCTCATCTATAAAATGGGGGAAACAATAATTTCTCTTTCCCTGAGCGTTTAGGAAGACTAAAACTGCAATAACCTACAGGAAAGATCTTGTAAACTAAAGACATCTACTGATAAAAAACAAGTGCCATCCCTATTTCTTCCAGTTACAGCCATAAAGGCTGATGGAGCAAAAAAGGAGCCAGCAGAGGAGAAAGAGGTGGCTTCAACACCTCTGCTAGTCTGCACTGCCAGGCTCTGTGGATCTGCTCAGACGGATGCAGAAACTCTCTCTGAGAGCAGAATTATGAAATTAAAAAGAAGGGTCTCCTTCCAAGAAAGGAATTAGCTTTAATTAGAGTTCAGCTAGAAAGCAATGACTTCAAACTAAAAGCACCTGATCTGTTTAGAAGCTGAGCTGGAAATGTCTGAAGCGCGACCAAGACAGAGCCCCCTGCTGGCTGCTGACCCCGGCAAGGGCTCAAGCAGGAGTCAGATGTGCTCTGTCAGTGGTGACAACCTATCAGTCGCTGTGGAAGGTAAGGATTCTCTTGCATCTCTTTTTTTCTTCTAACCTCAGAGCCTCTCTTTCACCACGTGAAATAAAACCTTTGCATTTGTGTGGTTTCAAGGTTTGTGAAACATTTTCTGTATTTTCTCTGGGTCGTTAATCAATACATAAAAGCTTCAGACTAACTGATGGCATTTGAGACAACCGTCTGCTCTATTTCCTCCCCTCTAAAGTAGTTTAAAAATAAAAAAGTGCTTCTGTTAGTTTCTACATACAGAGTTCTGTTTATTCCTAACAGCGCAAATCCTTCAGTGATCTGGTATAGCTGTGTGACAAGTCACCTGAAACTCCTCACTGGAATTGAGAAGTAGCTGGAGAAGAACCACCGACACCTGGGGGCCGAGTAAGGGCTGCAGGACAAGCAAATACCAGGTGAAAACCACCATGGCAATGATCCCTTCTGTTCAAAAATCATACAGGTATTTTTCAAACTCAATTTTGGCCATTCAAATAAATTTTTAAGGGACCACTCACCACCACTGCAATCAAAACACTTAAAATATCTTTGAAAAAACGTGGTGAGACATATGTAAAATCTCTATATATGATCACTGATACAAAAAGATTAGAAAAAGAAGACAAATTTTTAGAGGGGATGACTAAACCCTATGACATCCATTCTCATTCAAGTTAAGTTACAGATTCAATTTAAATCTAGTAAAAAAATCAAACAAAACTTTTGGAGTGGATAAAATAACTCCAAAACTCAATTCCAGAAAGAAGACAAGTAAAATGTCCAAAAGAATATTTCTTAAGAGCAATAGGAGAGAGGTCTCTGGCCTTTCCCATCAAGCAATGGAGAGCTTAACAGTTCTTACAGTACAATTTCAAAAGCAATTCTCAATTCTTTAAAAAATTTTTTTTAATTTTAATTTTTATCTTTATTTATTTATTTTTGCCATACCGCATGGCTTGCAAGATCTCAGTTCCCTGACCAGGGACTGAACCCGGGCCAAGCAGTGAAAGCACCGATTCCTAACCACTAGACCAGCAGGAAGCTGCCAGCAATTCTCCATTCTTAATCAATTATTATTTGACACCTGTCATGAAGAAATGCCAGTCTCAAAGCTAGAAAACTCAAAGAGGCAAAAACACACCACTACTAGCGCCAAACACACAGCTAACTGGAATTACAGGATTACAGGCATTCAGCCAAAAACAGAAACTATAAAGAAATAATAACTCAAGTGGTGTGAGATCCTGCTTCTATTCCATGGCAAATGGCCTGGACGGGAAAGGGGACTCTTCTGGGCTCTCCACCACCTGGAAGACTCCCTCCCCTCATTCATTTCCTAGTGTGAGCATCCTGCCATGCTGGATCTGACCTAGAAGTACCCTGGACTCTACCTGACATCTGTTTCTCCTGCTGACTTTACAAGGCAGCCCTCACACAAGCCACAACCAGGTGTATCTACTCTTCTACAAGTGTTTTCTTCTAAGGTTTAAGTGCACACTGCCTAAACCCAAGGGTTCAGCCAGCGTCCTGGCTCACTAACCTTCTCAGCCATGGCATCCATGTAGTCCTGTCGCTGGTACTCTCTCCGGCGCAGATGCCTGTACACATGGAACTCTCCACTGCCAGCCCCAGCGCTTGAACCTAAAGCCAGGACAGTCCAGAGCTTTTGATGATATCCAGTTACCAACATAGGCTACTCTTAATCACAGGGGACCAAAGAAAGGTACTAGAAGTGATGGAAGGGACCAAGCCTGCCCTATTCCCCATTGCACCCCAGAAGCTACCACACTGGCTGGTATATTGTAAATATCTGTTGTGTGAATGTTGAATGTGAAGTCACCAAAAATTCCACTCTAGTGCAATATTAGGAGGACAAGCAGACTATCGTTCAGAGACCAGAAACCTAAAAGAGAGCCTGTGACCTTTCCCTCCCCCACCAGATGATTTCACATTTGACATGCTTTTCTACTTAGTTGAAAAGATGTCTATGATATATGAAGTGAAAAAAAGTAGGTTATCAAATAGTATGTGTAGAACAACCATATTTTTGTAAACATTTTTTCTTAAGCATGAGTGGTTTTGACTATTAAGAGGTTTGGAGGACTACATCAAAATGTTACAAATAGAACGATAGATAACAGGTGGTTCTAATTTTTTTACACCTGTTATTTATTCTCTTTATAGTTAGTTAACTTACAACCCAACAAAATAAAAACTGTTTCCATTTTGAAAGAACAAGGTATTAAAAACAATGCAGAAGAAAGTTCTCTAATGCCAAACCACAAGCAACAATACCCCTTCATTGTAAGAGCAAAATACTGGATAAGTGAACTTTTTTTTCTTCCTATCAGGGGTGTAATTAACAAATGCTAACTGCAGAGTTTTTAATACCTACACTTTAAAAACTGTATTTAAACACACACCCACATCCAAAAGACATTACCCATTACATCTCGGACAAATTCTGGGGGAGGTCGAGGTGCCCATTCACTCATTTTTTCTGGAATTGGAACTGCTTTGTCCTGCAACATTTAAACACGAAAGCATTTGTATGTATAAACCGGCTGACAAAGTGACATCTTGTTCAACCAAAAAACTTTAACTGAAGTAGTGAAGTAAGGCTGCTTTGTTTCCTGGACCCAAAGCTGAGTTTGTTTTCTTCCCTCTGCCTTTACTTCATCCTGTATACTCTGGGTCCTATCAGAGCCCACAGCCTTGCCAGGGCTACTCAACTTTTCAGGGCAGAACTCAGAAACGCGACCCATCGTTTATGGCTGGAAACCTCCAACCCCAGGTGTCTTGGCCAATGCCTCTCTAACAATTAGTGCTGTTTAGAAGAAGAAAAGCCCTTGTGCTAACCCATGGATTATATCTTTCCAGTCTAAGGCTTCTGTTCACAAAGTTAAAGGGTTTTAGAGCACGAGAAGCCGCTTCGCAGCGCCCTCATCCAGGCTTGGCTCTAACATGAGAGCAGAAAATAGCTCACTATCTCCGGGGCCGCCTACTCCTTCCTAAGGTCTGACCCTGGGGTTCGGGTACTGAGTTCCAGAGTTCGGAAGCGCGGAAAGAGGGCCCGCTAGCGCCCACAGACGCCAGAAAGGAAGGGGGTAGGACTCGGAAGGGCCGTCAGCCCGCGCCTCGTCTCACCGGGTTCTTCATTAGCCGTTCCAGCTTGAGCTTCTGCTCCTCCGCCGCATTCTTGGGGATGACGAGCGCCTGCGGCTCTTTCTTGGGCCTAGGCGGTCGCACGGATGAGGCGGCCGGGCTCGCCATGAGAGCTCTGCAGCTGTCCTGGCGAGCGGCTGCGCGCGTGTGTATGACGACAGAGCCGCGCGCCAGCGACGCAAGCGCAGTCTCTTAGCTGGGCGGGGCTGGAGCGGAGTTGCCAGCCGGAAGCAGGATGTTGAATATTCATGAGCTTGAAGCCCCGGTGGGTTATTTTGATTAAAGCTGCTTGATTTCTTTTCATGTTTCTGAGCAAATCAGCGCAGCGAATGTCCCTGGGGGAGAGGTTGGCCCTGCGTGCCGGAGGGTCCGGCCCCAGGCGACCTCTCCGACCCCAGGCGACCTCTCCAGCCCTCGACCCCGACCTCTTAGCATCCCCCACCCCCGCCCCCGGGCCTTTGTCCTGGTGGTTCCTTGGATCTGGTCCACTCCCCTTGCCATTTCTGACAACGTGTTTAAGACGGCACAGACGTCACTGCGAGCTCCCTTAGGACTGGGGCCGAATCTCTTTTGTCCACCTCGAATTACTCTGCACCTGGCTCCCAGCAAATATACCTCGGTCGAGTGAATGGGCCTTTCTTATGAGAAAGAGAACAGTTGCTCCTCGCATCTGGGAACTAGCCTGGCACTCACAGCTAGGCCTTGGTATTCTCCTGTTGGACATAAAACAATTTCCCAGAACACCACGGTAGTGCAAGGCCATTCCGAGACCATGATGGAGCAAGGCATAAACAAGACTGCTCTGTAATCATGTTCAAAGCCAGATGAAAACAAGAATATTGTTGGAACCAGAAAAAGACCAACCGTTTCCCCATTCTGACTAAGTAACTGCTGCTTCCTTACAGCATTAGCCTTTCACTTTAAAGATTTAAGACTTCCAGTCGTAGAATTGTCCCCTCTTCCTGACATCTATTCCAGAGTAAAAGCCCACTTACTTGAACCCTCCCCCAAATCACCTAACGCGGGCCCAAATTCTATAAAAAGCCTTCCCCCCCCGATTTATTTATTTACTTATTTATTTTTGGCTGTGTTGGGTATTCGTTGATGCACATGGGCTTTCTCTAGTTGTGGCGAGCGGGTGCTACTCTTTGTTGTGGTGTGCAGGCTTCTTATTGCAGTGGCTTCTCGTTGCGGAGCACGGGCTCTAGGCACGTGGGCTCAGTAGTTGCGGCTCTCGGGCCCTAGCGTGTAGGCTCAGTAGTTGTGGCACACGGGCTTAGGTGCTCTGTGGCATGTGGGATCTTCCTGCACCAGGGCTCGAACCCGTGTCCTCTGCATTGGCAAGTCCCTATAATAAGCCTTTTTAAACACTTTTTTTTTTTGGCCACGCAGTGGGGCTTGCAGGATCTTCGTTCCCTGACCAGGGATCAAACCTGGACCCTAGGCAGTGAAAGCTCCGAGACCCAACCACTGGACTGCCAGGGAATCCCCTAAACACCCTCTTACTGAGGTACATGCTGTTTTCCTTCTCAAAAGAGGCAATAAACCCAATTCGTTCAACTACAGGTGTGTTCCTGGTGGTTTTCATAATTGCTTTTCTTGTTTATCATTTGTCAGCCCCTAGAGAGTGGGAGTTCTGTCCTGTTCATTGCTGCATTTCCAGTTATCTGGGGCAAGGCCTGGCCCACAGCAAGACACTCATGTTGCTGGATGAACATGGGATCTTGGGAGCCAGGCACCTCAGATACTACTGCTGCTATTGCCTGCTCAGCCCGCCCAGCCTAGGACATCTCTCCCACTGAGTCCCCAGAGGATGGACAGGTGGACAAGTGGTGGTTGCTTGGAGGGTGCTCTATTAATGCCCTAAGGCCATTCCTGGCCACTTGATAGTGGATGGTTTTCCAGGGGCCAAGGTTGCTGAATTAGGGGAAGTCCTTGAGTGACCCACGTCTATCACTGGAACCCAGGGAGGGCTTGGTCTGGGTTGGATCATGCACACATGACCCTACATCACAAACCCCAGGCACCTCACTTTTCCCCAAACACACCACAAGACAAAAACTAGGAGTGCCTTTTCCTCCCTGGAGAACTCCCATACACCCTCCTTTGCCTGGCTTAAATGCTACTTCCTCCATGAAGCCTTCTCTGATTGCCCCCACCCAGCCTCCTCCTCCAGGCAGTCAGTTGCTCCCGTCTTGGTGCTCCCCCTGCTCTGAGTCCCAGTGGCTGGCATGTGGTAGTTACAGGGTGTCTTCACCATCTGCCTACCCACATGTCTGGGAGAGGGTTGTGCCAGAATCCCAGCGTCTAATTCTGGCTTAAAGTGGTGCTTCCAGAATGTTTGCAGAACAGAGGATTGAGGGAGGGAGGAAGGAAGAGTCTGATAAAATAAAGAATGAGTGAATGTGCAAATGAGATAACTTAGTGATGGATGCATGAGTGAATGAGGAAGTCAGTGCCTATGAGAAAGAATGAATGAACACTCAACAAAGAAATGGATACTCCATGAATGAAAGAGCACACAATACAGTGGATGAGCAGACAGTTACAGAGCTAGCAGGGCAACCATCTCGATGATACCCCCAGCTCAGGGTCTGGCCCAGAGCTGGTACTTGGCAGACAGCTGCTGGATGGAAGTTAAATGAATGAATGAAATGAATGCGTGCACCAAGATGGGGGAGAGTCAAGGCATGTAGTTGTGAAGGAGCTGATAATAGCAACCTCAATGTCTAAGCCTAGTATAAGAGTGTTGACATGTTTGTCGTCCTGTTAAGGAACTGAGAGCCCCAGAGGGGTGAGTGACTGGCTCAGGGTCACCCAGACTCCAACCCAGCAGGCTGCGGCTGTGAGGGCCTGAGTGATCACATGACTCACGGATAGATGGACCAAGGCCCTCAAGCAGACCATGGTGGGGCCATCCAGGTGGCACCCTCCTAGGGCTGAAGCCAGATTTGAGGTCCTGCTCCCTGGGAGGAAAGGGTGCCTACCCACCCCCACTCCTCACTAACTGTCCCACAAGAGTGGACTCAGACTCTGAGTGACATCCTGTCCGCCACCAGAGGGCAGCAAAGCTCCACCCAGGCCCACGTGCCAGCAGCTGGTGCCCCTGAGGCACCAGAACTGGGCACTTAGGGAATGACGTCTACTGACCTGAAAGACACCAATGCTGTGGAGTCTGGCAGATCTGATGGCAAAGTTTGGCTCCACCTGCTCTGAAGCGTGGGCTGGGCAAGCAACCTAACCTCTCAAAGGCTGTTTCTTTATGTGCAGGCTGGGGACAAGCAAACCTACCCTTGACACTGGCCAGCGGATAAGATGATATGACAGATGTGCAGTGCCCAGCACAGCGCCTGACACTTAATAACAGGGTGATCACCTGTCCCAGTTTGGTTCCAAGACTGAGAGATTTCCCAGGATGCAGGACTTCCAGTGCTAAAATGGGGAGAGTCTCGGGCAAAGCAGCACAGTTGGTCACCCAGGGGTGGGAACTCCCACCTCAATCCTTTGAGTTGCGATTGATACTTAAAGAACTAAAACAGCAAAAATGTTCACAACTATTCCATAGTTTCAGCTTCTCACTGAATTAGTGAGTCAACGGGCTTTCCACAATGGTCTCTGTCAGTGACTAGAGAACAGTTCCACCAATGGAGATAAAAACAAAGAATACACCCACTTCAGAAAAGAGTTTGTCAGTTTCCTATAAAGATAAGTACCACACAACCCAGCAATCTCATTCCTAGAGAAATAAAGATATATGTCCACCAAGACCTGTATGTGAATACATACAGCAGCTTGATTCATAACTGCCCCAAAACTGGAGACAACCCAAGTGTCCATCAAACTGTGATGTATCCATTCAGTGACACACACCTCAGCAATAAAAAGGAAGGAACCGTTGGTACTTGCAGCAGCATGGATGGATTTCAAAAGCATTATGCTTAAGGACTTCCCTGGCAGTCCAGTGGTTAAAGCCTTCGCCTTCCAGGGCAGGGGGTGCGGGTTCGATCCCTGGTTGGGGAGCTGAGATCCCACATGCTTTGCGGCCAAAAAAACCAAAACATAAAACAGAAGCAATATTGTAACAAATTCAATAGAGACTTTAAAAATGGTCCACATTAAAAAAAAATCTTAAAAAAAAAAAAGCATTATGCTTAGTGAATAAAGCCTGATCCAAAAGGCTACAACCTGAATGATTCCATTACTTGATATTCTGGAAAGGCCAAAATGATAGAAAACAGATCAGCAGTCACCACAGGCCAAGGATACGGGAAGGGGATAGACTGTAAAGGGCCCGAAGGAACTTTCTGGGGTGATGAACATGTTGTGTATCTGGATTGTGGTGGTAGGTACACAAACACACACATCTGTCCAACTCATTGAACTCTATACTTAAAAAGGGTGAATTTAATTGTATGAAAATGATACCTCAATAAACTAGATTTAGTTTATGTGTAATGATGACACTTGAAAGGCATGGGGGCAATGGAAAGTGTAAGTATTGTGCTGTTGGCTGCTTTTTGTTAACTGCTTTACAAGACTTGAAAGGAGAACATGCATGTTCAGGTTAACCAACCATCAACTCAAGGCATGAAGGTCAGAAGGCATCCAGATTGGCAATCTGCACAGAGGCGGCGTTCATCACTGGGTAGACGAGATGGCTTGTTTAGTGGAGGTCATCCAGCCCTGTCCTAAGCCACTCCAGCGATTGTGCAATTAGTCCATGAACAGAGTAGCCACATGAAGGGTATGCACGGGCACAACAGATGGGCTCCCTCTCACCACAGCTGATATATTGCTGCTGCTGCTGAATGCCTGAGTTGAATGATCCTTCGTGCAGCATTATCCTTTAAGGAGCCCAGTCAACCTCCTGATGGCAAGTTTGTTACATTGACCACCTTTCGCCCTAGAGGCATTTGTCTTACTGTAATTTATTCTGTGCCATATAAGGGTTTGCCTCCCCTACCTGCAGTACCTCTGCCAGCACCATCATTCAAGGGCTTGCAGAATGTATTGGATTTGCCAGCAAGGGATCCGGCACAATATCTCTTTAGACCAGGGGATCATTTTATGGTAAAGGAGATGCAACATGGTGACGGGATTGTACACACAACAATACCCGAAAGCAGCTGACCTAATAGAACATAGAGTGGACTGTTATATTCTTAGATGAGG